CCTTTCTAAAGGAGACAACGTTAACGGCTGCCAGCTAGACCATTGATGTAAAAACTCATCTCAAGTGCAAGATTTTCACTTTTAGCTTTTCCATCAGAGGAAACATCCTCCCGTCTCGCAACTCCTCTCGTTGCAAGGCGTCGAACGGAAACTTTCGTTATTTCTGTAAATCGAATTGTGGTTGACTCCGTTTGACCAAGGTTTATCTGTCTAGGATAGGTTACCATCTCCGTGGATGCAGTGCACAGTTTTGAAGCCCAGTAAAAACAACATGCGATGGCACCAGATGACAGCAAACGATAAGGATAACTCTGTGCAATATTTTTTAATTTTTTGGCTGGTTGCATTCCACAGTATTCCTCTCAAAAGGTTCTATTCAAAAGAGACCGAACACTGTTCAGGTAAGGTCTTGAAATCGAGAGGGAGTCTACCTGGGTGACTTCCAACAAAGGCCACTCTAGGTGTCTCCGTGGGGTTGGTTTTCCTCCAAATGGAGGATGGAGTGCAAAATTCATGTTCATATTAGAGATGCTAGCAACTACACGGTCAACCACAGTACTCACCAGCTTAAAGTGCAGCTGAGGTTTCCACATACCTGCACTCTGTAACAGACCGAAGCTAATGTAGGCAGTAAAAAAATCAACCTTGTTCGAATATCTGCTTGGGGCAGGGGAACTTGACGACCCATGATGAACAAAAGTTCGAACCCAACAAGAAAAATGCAGTAAAATTCAAAGATTCTTTAATCGACATATTTGTCTTATTCACAAAAGAATTTTGGCTACTGCTTCCCTAGCTCTTCGCCTCTTAAAGTCATCCCTTCACAGATGTTACCAAGATATCAGCGTATCAATCAGCCCCAAAGCTTTACACTAAATTCGTTCGCCGATGGTAGTGGAAGCCTTTCACGTGTCACGTCCATGCCAGATCAACATCAAACCAGTCCCCGCGGAAGTTGAAATCAATCTCCCATTGCTAAAACGCACTAGTGTTTTCATTCCAAGAATATCCGTTCAGATGCCGACCTGATAAAGTTTATTGAACCAAAGTTCCACCTGTTCTAACCACGCTTGGTTACGCCTTGTCAACGGTTAGAATGACAAATGTATGGTGTAACTAAGGCTAAATTTAACTAATGTGACATTACCTGTTCACTCACCTGTCAGCATTCGTTAGGAACGGAAAACATCTTTGTAATGTACTACTCATGAGGTTGCTGAAAATCCTTCGACGCCCACGACC